ATATCTATCTAGAATATGTCTAAGGCTCTGGCACTACATTTTTGGAGGAACATAAAGACCTCTGAACAATTCTAAACAACATGTTTTAACATTATCTAATATTTGGTTAAAATCAAATCAACGTTGAGAATCTACAATGTGCTTAGCTGCTTTAGTACCTCATGCATAAAAAGATGTCACAGTCCTTGTCCTCAAGAAGTTTTACATATTATTATGTTAAAAATTGTAGATTTTTTAAATAAGTGAATTTTCAAAAAATAATTATACTTTCCAGAAAGTACTTTACTACATATTATGTATTTCTATACCAAGACACAAATCCAAAGAAAATCAAAATAATTTACCTGGTTCAGTAAGTAGAGAATCTTTGTAAGAATATGCAAACATCTTCTTGGATTGATGGGTGTTTCATTGAACAGACGAGCCTGGAAACAAAATACACTGCTATATATAGTTTACTTTTTACATTTCCTATCTCAGATTACAGAAAATCAACCTTAAGAAAATAAAGACTATTATGTATTTTAATTACAATAAATATCCAAATAATGTTAACTACCTATAGTTTTCCATTTATAATGGTATACGGTAAATGATTAGAAGTGGCCCTTGATTTTCCATTTTTTACTCTCTGTTACCCTTAGGTCTACTGCTTCAACTCTGTGAGCTCTATTAAGTAAGATTCACAATATTTATCTACATCACATGAATACAATGAGTTTAATTAATATCTATAACTTCGTTCAATAACCTTGCACTAAACACCTCTTCTGGCATTTTATTTAAAATTCTCTCATTTTTTAATCTTTATTGTTGAAAGTATTACATATGTCCCCTTTTTTTCCCCCATTAGCTCCCTCCACTTCTCAACTGCCCCATCCCCAGGCTGTCCCCATACCAATGTCTGTGTCCATGGGTTATGCACTTATGCATGTAGGTTCTTTCATTAAAGTCTCCCCACCCGCCCTCACCCCCCACCTTCCCTTTGAGATTCCTCAGTCTATTCCATGCTTCCGTGTCTCTGGATCTATTTCGTTCATCAGTTTATTTTGTTCATTAGATTCCACATAGGAGTGAGATCATGTGGTACTTGTCTTTCTATGACTGGCTTATTTCATTTAGCATAACAATCTCCAGTTTCCTCCATGCTGTCCCAAAGGGTAAGAGATCTTTCTTTTTTACAGCTGCATAGTATTCCGTAGTGTAAATGTGCCACAGCTTTTTTACCCACTCATCTACTGATAAGCACTTGGGCTGTTTCCAGATCTTAGCTATTGTAAATTGCGCTGCTACGAAATTCTCAGCATGTGGCCCTGACTGGGTAGCTCGGTTGGCTGGAGCACCAACCCCTACACCAAAAGGTTCGATTCCCAGTCAGGGCACACTCAGATTGCCGGTTCGATCCCCGGTCAGGGCGTGTACAGGAGGCAACTGATCAATGTTCCTCTCTCTCTCTCCCCCCTTTCCTCTCTCTCTAAAAATCAATAAACATATCCTCAGGTGAAGATTAAATAAATAAATAAATAAATAAATAAATAAATAAATAAATAAATCTCAACATGTAGCACAGTCTGCACTCTCTCTCTCCTCTGACAAGCAACCCCCTTCCTTTTCTCTCAAGTCTATATTGTCTGAACTCAGTTAAATTCCTTAATTCTTATTTTGAATCTCAGCTTTCTGAGATTCAAAATGGGCTCTCTGCCCACCATTCTAAAATGGAATGGAAAAGAAGAAATACAATATACTGCCAAGCCATACCTCCTGTAAGACAGCACTCTTCTCCAGATGCCGAAAAGGATTGGAGCCACTACCTATAGTATGAAATAAAGCATATCTTTAATAGCTGTACTACACAAATTTATTTTCTACAGGATACTGAATGCTTGGCTATCTCACCTAAGTGGATATCACAGTGCTAATTACTAATCTTCATATAAACTAATCATTTTGATTCTGAAAATATTTCTGTCATTGCTTTCCTGTAAGATCTTATACTTTTGCAGGAATCCTGCCCAAAATGAATGTCTTCTTTCTCCTGTCCTCTTTTTATATGAATGTTACAAATACCTGTCATGTCCACACAACCAAGATGAATGAGATCGTGGTAGGGCTCTTTGGAGTTCCCTAAAGGGGAGAACAACTTTGTGTGTTTCTAACAGTTACTGAGAGGCAGAAAAGAAGAGTTCAGCAGATAATCATACAACCTTAAAGACGGAAGGGGCCATGGAGGTCCTACTAAGCCAACCTTCCACCACTCTTTATGAGAGCAGCTATCAAACGCTGACTTTTGTTTTGTTTGTTTGCTTATAAGGTGGCTTGGTACCTTCCCCATTTGCTCTGGACCAAAGTATCAAGAACAACTCACTTTGGGACGCATTCAATGATCTCTGTACCATGGGACGGTTTTGCCCTCTGGGAGGCAGGCAGTGTAAAGGTCTCCAGGACGACTGTACGGTACAGGGCATCTCAAAGTTCATATACACACACAGTGTGCGGTGGATCTGAGGCCCACTCGGGGCCTCGCACGAGCAGCACCCCTCGCCTCTCACAAGCTCCCACACACTCCCTCCGCCACCTGCCAAGCGCCTGCAGCCTCGGCGAGCGGCCCACCCGAGGCGAGTGGGGCGGAGCCGGCGTGGAGTCGCTGCGCCCCTCGGAGGGGGAG